TTTGCTCTGTTCCTCGCTGTCCCTCCCGGCGTGCGTGAAAGTGCGTTCAATGGTGGAACGCAGACTGTGCTCGGGCTGTCCGCTGTAAGCGTGCAGCCTGGAGAAACACTGCCGCCGTAGGACTGTCACGGTCAACGCTGTCCCCTCCCATCTCCCCCTTCACCCTTGTTTCATCTCCCCTCTTCCCTCCGGCCATAAACTGTTCGAGCCAAGGGTCCTTAGCCGACAAGATCGTCTTAGTATCCCCTCTTCCCCAGCCCCTTCCCCTTTCCCTGTTTCCTCCCCATAGCCAGTGAGGTGATACATTAATCATCTGTTCAATAAACATTCTCGCTTGGGAGCAACGATCTGGTGTGTGTCCCGATGGGCAATCGAAGCTTGTTCACATGTCAACCGGTGCACAGCTAGAACAACTTAACGGGAGAAGAACATTCATTTCAGGCGGGCCAGGCTTGTGCCCTGGGCAGTGATTGGTTGGAGATAACAGGTCCAACTAGAGGCTGCGGTTTGGTGGGGAACCCCTGAAAGAGCGGGGGGGGGGGGGTACCTGGCACTCTGGCCTATGAGTTCCAGACCATAGGCCAGAGTTTGAAATGACTGGATTAGGCCTCTGTTATGTGGACGTGGCTAATATGCCATAGATGACTCAGTGGGTGGAGAAAGTCTTCACTTGGAGGTTAAGTTAAGTCACACTTAACTTTAGTTTAGTGTGACTATGAGTTGTGAACTTGGGCAGGTCAATGGGACCTGGAGAGGCGGTCAACATCTGTGGCTGGGATTTGCAGGCAGAAGGTATTGTGCTGTCTTGATTGTGCATTTCAGTTGTTCACATCAATTGCCTCGTAGGATGTATTAAGAGTTAGGATATATTTCGAGTCATTTAATTAAATAAAGTTCATATTGATTTATTTTGTTTAGTTAATCTTTCTCTCTAATTCATTTTGAATCATTAAATTTCTCTCTACATGTTGACCAGACCTCACACTAGAAGGTGAAGGGACGACGACGTTTCGGTTCGTCCTGGACCATTCTTAAGTCGATTGTTGACTTGAGAATGGTCCAGGACGGACCGAAACGTGGTCGTCCCTTCACCTTCTAGTGTGTGGTCTGGTCAACATACTTTAACCACGTTATTGTGACTCATCGCCTGCACCACCAGTTGTATTTTCTTCCCATTTATTATTTCAGTTTAACATAGAGCTGGTGAGTTCAGTGAGGGTCAAAGTGAGCTTGGTAAGCGGTGTTAAGCTGGGGCTATAATTGGGAAAGTGGAGTTACAATCTAGGTAGTGATACAATATTGCTACACCTCCTAGATTGTAACTCAATATTACAATATTGTTACAATATGTTTCAATATTGTATCACCTCCTAGATTGTAACTCCACTTTCCCAATTGTTGAAGCTATTGGGAAAGTGGAAAGAAACTCTGGAAAAGTTTTTCCTTTTTAAAAGGAAAAAGTTTCAAAGAAAAGTTTCAGAAACTGAAAAGAAACTCTTTTCCTGGTTGTCCTCAATGGTCTTCTTTCCTCTCTTCCTTTTGACATTTTCTCCGCTCTTTATGTTGATGATCTCGCCCTCTGTTGTCAAGGTTATGACTCGTCCTCTGTTGTCAAGGTTATGACTCGTCCTCTGTTGTCAAGGTTATGACTCGTCCTCTGTTGTCAAGGTTATGACTCGTCCTCTGTTGTCAAGGTTATGACTCGCCCTCTGTTGTCAAGGTTATGACTCGTCCTCTGTTGTCAAGGTTATGACTCGTCCTCTGTTGTCAAGGTTATGACTCGTCCTCTGTTGTCAAGGTTATGACTCGTCCTCTGTTGTCAAGGTTATGACTCGTCCTCTGTTGTCAAGGTTATGACTCGCCCTCTGTTGTCAAGGTTATGACTCGTCCTCTGTTGTCAAGGTTATGACTCGTCCTCTGTTGTCAAGGTTATGACTCGCCCTCTGTTGTCAAGGTTATGACTCGTCCTCTGTTGTCAAGGTTATGACTCGTCCTCTGTTGTCAAGGTTATGACTCGTCCTCTGTTGTCAAGGTTATGACTCGTCCTCTGTTGTCAAGGTTATGACTCGTCCTGTTGTCAAGGTTATGACTCGTCCTCTGTTGTCAAGGTTATGACTCGCCCTCTGTTGTCAAGGTTATGACTCGCCCTCTGTTGTCAAGGTTATGACTCGCCCTCTGTTGTCAAGGTTATGACTCGTCCTCTGTTGTCAAGGTTATGACTCGTCCTCTGTTGTCAAGGTTATGACTCGTCCTCTGTTGTCAAGGTTATGACTCGTCCTCTGTTGTCAAGGTTATGACTCGTCCTCTGTTGTCAAGGTTATGACTCGTCCTCTGTTGTCAAGGTTATGACTCGTCCTCTGTTGTCAAGGTTATGACTCGTCCTCTGTTGTCAAGGTTATGACTCGTCCTCTGTTGTCAAGGTTATGACTCGTCCTCTGTTGTCAAGGTTATGACTCGTCCTCTGTTGTCAAGGTTATGACTCGCCCTCTGTTGTCAAGGTTATGACTCGTCCTCTGTTGTCAAGGTTATGACTCGTCCTCTGTTGTCAAGGTTATGACTCGTCCTCTGTTGTCAAGGTTATGACTCGTCCTCTGTTGTCAAGGTTATGACTCGTCCTCTGTTGTCAAGGTTATGACTCGTCCTCTGTTGTCAAGGTTATGACTCGTCCTCTGTTGTCAAGGTTATGACTCGTCCTCTGTTGTCAAGGTTATGACTCGCCCTCTGTTGTCAAGGTTATGACTCGTCCTCTGTTGTCAAGGTTATGACTCGTCCTCTGTTGTCAAGGTTATGACTCGTCCTCTGTTGTCAAGGTTATGACTCGCCCTCTGTTGTCAAGGTTATGACTCGCCCTCTGTTGTCAAGGTTATGACTCGCCCTCTGTTGTCAAGGTTATGACTCGTCCTCTGTTGTCAAGGTTATGACTCGTCCTCTGTTGTCAAGGTTATGACTCGCCCTCTGTTGTCAAGGTTATGACTCGTCCTCTGTTGTCAAGGTTATGACTCGTCTTTCCTCCAACGGCGGCTTCAGCTTGTGATTGATGCCGTGTCGCCCTGGGTGTCGATGCCGTGTCGTCCTGGGTGTCGATGCCGTGTCGCCCTGGGTGTCGATGCCGTGTCGCCCTGGGTGTCGATGCCGTGTCGCCCTGGGTGTCGATGCCGTGTCGCCCTGGGTGTCGATGCCGTGTCGCCCTGGGTGTCGATGCCGTGTCGCCCTGGGTGTCGATGCCGTGTCGCCCTGGGTGTCGATGCCGTGTCGCCCTGGGTGTCGTTGTTGTCGTATACACCAATCATGGCTTCAAGTTCCCTCCGGCTGGTGTGCCATGACCTTTACTCGGAAGCAGGTCGTCCTTCGACCCTCTGTCGCTTGATGGTAATCTTCTTTTGTAGATTTTGGATTTAAGATTTAAGGATTTTGCTTAACTTTTGGGGTTAATCTTTGACACTGGCTTGCTCAGGTCTCCCCTTATCTCATTCTACTGAGACGAATGCTCAAAGGCGCATAACGTACTTAAGGTCTTGTCCCATACTTCCTGAGGAGCTGATAGGCATACGCTCCTCTTTACATTACTCTCATGTGCTGTCTAAACCCGATTATGGCTGTCCTGCTTACTCGTCTGCCTCTCCTTCCACCCTTCGTCGGCTTGATGCACTGCACCATACTGGGCTCCGTCTTAGCTCTGCTGCCTTTCGTGCGACCCCTTCCTAGAGCCTGTATGTTGAGACAGGCATCCTGTCTTTACAGGATCGCCGTGATCGCTACTGTCTTCGCTACTTTGCGCGGTCTCGTCAACACCCTCACTCTCGCTTATGTCGCACTTTGACCACTACCTCTCCTCTTATATTTCACCACCTTCCTCTTTCTGTATGGTTGTCTCGCTTGTAAGGTTCTCTCTCGGTTCGTTTTGCCAATGTTTCTCCTCGTGTCATTCCGTCCTTTCCCCCATGGAGGGTCCCTCTTCCTATGTTTTGTAGGACCTTGACCTGCATGACTAAGGCTTTTACCCCTCCTACAGTTCTGAAACGCTTTTTCCTTGTTCATGTTTCTTCACACTTCCGGTCCGTCTCGGTCTTCACAGATGGGTCTAAGTCTGCTGGCAGTGTGGGCTACTCCGGTGTGTTTCCTGACCACACCTATATGTGTGCCGCCTGCCTCCGGAGACTAACATGTTCACGGGTGAACTTTATGCAGTTTTGTTTGCTCTTCGTCAACTGGTTTCTCGCCGTAATTCTTCCTTTGTTGTTGTGGTTCACTCTCGCAGTGCCCTCATGGCTCCGGAGTCCTTTAATCCTGTCCATCCTGTGGTAATCGAAACTTAATATTAGCTCTTTCTAATCTCCAGCAGATTTAAGACAGTGAAGTTTTGCTGGGTTCGCAGCCATATTGGTGTGTCCTTAGTGTGCGGACGCTGTCGTTAAGGACGCTATCCGCGCTTGTCCCATCTCCCGTAAAGGTATTCCTTATTCCGACTTGTACCCTGTTATTCATTCCTCTATCCTTGCCCGTTGGCAGTGTTGTGGGTCTTCTGTTACTGGTAACAAACTGCGTGCTCTTAAGGGTAGTGTGTCCCTGTGGCCTTCCTCCTACCACTGTAACCGGCGGTGGGAAACGGCTCTGGTGAGGCTACGTATTGGCCATACCTGCTCACGTCACAGGCACTTAATAGAGCGCTGCCCTGCTCCTTATTGTTCAAATTGCATTGTCCCTCTTACGGTCACGCATATCCTTGTTGAAAGTCCCGACTTCCAGGACGAGCGTGTGTCTCGCATCTCGACCGTCCCTCGCGGTCACTTGTCCCTCGATAGCATCCTTGGTGATATCGGATACCTTTGATGCTGTTTGTCTTATGCGCTTTTGTTCTCGTATTGGCATCCTTAGTGATATTTAGCATCGTTTGAATATCCCGCACTTTTGACGGTACTACATAGTCGCCCCGGTTTGATGCCTTCTTTTGATAATTACTTCCTTGCTCGCAGGGTTGTTGATTACAAGAAAGATACAACTCTGAGAATATAGTTTATTGCACACACTCATAGTACTGACAAGCTCACATTAGTTTACTTACAACCGAACATTTATACCAACATTTACGTCAACATCACAGCGCAAGAGGCACTCAGTGAGCAATTATAGTGTCAACCACAGAGAGGGACTACAAGTGGCACTCGCAGGAGGCCCTCGGGACCTCCCTCAGGCACTTTCATCTGGGGCTGCCCCGCGGGGGACCTAGACAGGACCAGGACAACCTTAACCTGGTCCAGGGGAAGGTTTGGGGTCCTGTTACTGACGGAGGCACTGGTACACAGGTGTAGGACACACCTGACGAAGGCACTGGTACACAGGTGTAGGACACACCTGATGGAGGCACTGGTACACAGGTGTAGGACACACCTGATGGAGGCACTGGTACACAGGTGTAGGACACACCTGACGGAGGCACTGGTACACAGGTGTAGGACACACCTGATGGAGGCACTGGTACACAGGGGGTAGGACACACCTGATGGAGGCACTGATACACAGGTGTAGGACACACCTGATGGAGGCACTGGTACACAGGGGGTAGGACACACCTGATGGAGGCACTGGTACACAGGGGGTAGGACACACCTGATGGAGGCACTGATACACAGGTGTAGGACACACCTGATGGAGGCACTGATACACAGGTGTAGGACACACCTGATGGAGGCACTGGTACACAGGTGTTGGATACACATGACGGAGGCACTTGTGGTGGGGGTGGCATTTGTGGTGGTGGCACTTGTGGTAGGGGGGGTGGCACTTGTGGTGGTGGGGGTGGCACTTGTGGTGGTGGTGGCACTTGTGGTGGGGGGGTGGCACTATATGGTGTAGTATTCAGGCCTCCCCTACACAGCCCCCTACACAGCCTATACACAGCCCCCCACACAGTCTATACACAGCCTATACACAGCTCCCTACACAGCCTATATACAGCCTATACACACAGCCCTCCACACAGTCTAATACACAGCCTCCCACACAGCCTGTACACAGCCTATATACAGCCTATACACACAGTCTATACACAGTCCCCAACACAGTCTATATACAGCCCCTACACACCCCACCCCCACACACACAGCCCACCCCACTCACACAGCCCACCCCACACACACAGCCCACCCCACTCACACAGCCCACCCCACACACACACAGCCCACCCCACTCACACAGCCCACCCCACACACACAGCCCACCCCACACACACAGCCCACCCCACACACACACAGCCCACCCCACTCACACAGCCCCTACACAGCCCACCCCACACACACAGCCCCTACACAGCCCCTACACAGCCTATAAACAGCACAGTTTGCAGAGTAAAGTTTCAGCCATGGAAAATCCACAGAGCAAAGGAGGAGGGAAGACCACGCAGTAACGTAAACAAGACCCGTGACCTTCACAAGGTGGAGGAATTCACTGCGGCGCTGGTAAATGCCCTGCCTGTACCACCCTGCGATAGCACAAGTGAGAGGTGGTCACATCTCAGGGGCACTATTTTCAACACTGCCATGTCCACCTTCGGTAAGAGGCAGAACAAGTCAGCAGATTGGTTCGAGGCCAGTGTAGAGGAACTGTTACCTCTCTTAGAGTAAAAGAGACGAGCTCTCTCGTCCTACAAGAACCTGCCCTCAGAAAGGAACCTACAGGCCCTCCGTACTGCCCGCAGTAGAGTTTAACATACTGCGAGGCGCTGTGCTAACGATTACTGGCTTCGACTCTGTTCCAGCATCCAGACTGCGGCCACTGTCGGCAACACAAGAGGCATGTACGAAGGGATCAAACAGGCAACAGGCCCTACACAAAACCGGACGGCTCCTCTGAAGTCAGCCACTGGAGAGATCATTAATGACCGTGATCAACAGATGAATCGCTGGGTGGAACATTACTCTGAACTCTACTCCAGAGAGAACTTGGTCAGCGTAGAGGCTTTGGATGCAATCGAGTGCCTGCCCATCATGGAAGACCTTGATCTTGAACCGACTGTGGAAGAGGTTGAGAAATCAGTGGATTCATTTTCCTCAGGGAAGGCCCCAGGAGACGACGGGATTCCACCTGAAGTTCTCAAGTGCGCTCGTGGAACACTTAAATCTGAGCTTCATGAACTTGTGTGCCAGTGCTGGAGGGAGGGCTCGGTGCCACAAGACATGAGAGATGCAAACATCATCACACTCTACAAAAATAAAGGTGACAGAAGCGATGTCAACAACTATCGTGGCATCTCCCTCCTCAGCGCCATCGACAAACTCTTCGCCAGGGACGTCTTGGTCAGGCTTCAGATTCTTGCTGAAAGAGTGTACCCGAGTCACAATGTGGTTTCCGAGCAGAGAAGTCGACCACTGACATGGTGTTCTCCCTGAGACAGCTTCAAGAAAAGTGCAGGGAGCAGAGAAGAGCCTCATACATCACCTTCATTGACCTTACAAAGACCTTCGACCTCGTGAGTAGGGACGGACTCTTCAAGATCTTGGCCAAAATTGGCTGCCCACCCACCCTACTCAGCATGATACAATCGTTCCACAAGGACATGAAGGGAACAGTCGTGTACGACGGCTCAACTTCTGAACCATTCAACATCAACAGTGGTGTTCAACAGGGGGTGAGTACACTTCTCTACGGCTGGGAATCCTGGACCCTGCGCTCTCGCCAGGAGTGACGGCTCAATACCTTTCACATGCGGAACCTGAGACGCATCCTTGACACCACGTGGAGAGACCACGTCACCAACAACACTGTACTCGAGAGAACAGGAGTCCCTTCAATGTTCACTCTCCTGAAGCTGAGACGCATGCGATGGCTGGGACATGTCACACGCATGGTAGATGGCCGCATACCGAAGGACCTCTTGTATGGAGAACTGGCATCAGGAAGGAGACCCACCGGAAGACCTCAGTTGCGTTTCAAAGACCTCAGCTGGGTTTCAAAGACCTCAGTTGGGTTTCAAAGACCTCAGCTGGGTTTCAAAGACCTCAGCTGGGTTTCAAAGACCTCAGCTGGGTTTCAAAGACCTCAGCTGGGTTTCAAAGACCTCAGCTGGGTTTCAAAGACCTCAGCTGGGTTTCAAAGACCTCAGCTGGGTTTCAAAGACCTCAGCTGGGTTTCAAAGACCTCAGCTGGGTTTCAAAGACCTCAGCTGGGTTTCAAAGACCTCAGCTGGGTTTCAAAGACCTCAGCTGGGTTTCAAAGATGCCTGCAAACGCGACCTCAAGCAGCTGAACATCGACATCAACACCTGGGAGGCAGCAGCTGCGGACAGATCTGCCTGGAGATGCAGAGTGCAGAAGGGACTCCAGCAATTCGAGAATGAACTTGAAGAGGCAGGTGGAGGATTACAGACTTCAGAGGAGGTCTCGACCACTGTCAGACGCGCCCGTTTCTGTGTTTATCTGCGCTCGCTGCGGCCGGGACTGTCATCCTCAGGTTGACCTTCACAGCCACAGCAGGCGCTGCACCCAACTACACTACAACAACTACACACCCAGGGCATAACTCCATTAACCCCACGGGATTGACGGATGCCTACTACTACTGCCACACAGCCCCCCACACAGCCCCCCACACAGCCTATACACAGCCCCCCACACAGCCCCCCCACACAGCCTACACACAGCCTATACACAGCCCCCCCCACAGCCTACACACAGCCTATACACAGCCTATACACAGCCCCCCCACACAGCCTATACACAGCCTACACACAGCCTATACACAGCCTATACACAGCCCCCCACACAGCCTATACACAGCCCCCCCCCACAGCCCCCCACACAGCCCCCCACACAGCCTATACACAGCCCCCCACACAGCCTTGTAGTGCTGCTGTGGACCAGGCCTAATCAGGGCACTGGTCATGTTGAGAGTCCTGGTGGTGATCCTGTTGAGAGTCCTGGTGGTGATCCTGTTGAGAGTCCTGGTGGTGGTCCTGTTGAGAGTCCTGGTGGTGATCCTGTTGAGAGTCCTGGTGGTGATCCTGTTGAGAGTCCTGGTGGTGGTCCTGTTGAGAGTCCTGGTGGTGGTCCTGTTAAGAGTCCTGGAGGTGGTCCTGTTGAGAGTCCTGGTGGTGGTCCTGTGTAGAGTCCTGGTGGTGGTCCTGTGTAGAGTCCTGGTGGTGGTCCTGTGTAGAGTCCTGGTGGTGGTCCTGTGTAGAGTCCTGGTGGTGGTCCTGTGTAGAGTCCTGGTGGTGGTCCTGTGTAGAGTCCTGGTGGTGGTCCTGTGTAGAGTCCTGGTGGTGGTCCTGTGTAGAGTCCTGGTGGTGGTCCTGTGTAGAGTTCTGGTGGTGGTCCTGTGTAGAGTCCTGGTGGTGGTCCTGTTGAGAGTCCTGGTGGTGGTCCTGTGTAGAGTCCTGGTGGTGGTCCTGTGTAGAGTCCTGGAGGTGGTCCTGTGTAGAGTCCTGGTGGTGGTCCTGTGTAGAGTCCTGGAGGTGGTCCTGTGTAGAGTCCTGGTGGTGGTCCTGTGTAGAGTCCTGGTGGTGATCCTGTTGAGAGTCCTGGTGGTGGTCCTGTGTAGAGTCCTGGTGGTGGTCCTGTGTAGAGTCCTGGAGGTGGTCCTGTGTAGAGTCCTGGTGGTGGTCCTGTGTAGAGTTCTGGTGGTGGTCCTGTGTAGAATCCTGGTGGTGGTCCTGTGTAGAGTCCTGGTGGTGGTCCTGTGTAGAGTCCTGGTGGTGGTCCTGTGTAGAGTCCTGGTGGTGGTCCTGTGTAGAGTCCTGGTGGTGGTCCTGTGTAGAGTCCTGGTGGTGATCCTGTTGAGAGTCCTGATGGTGGTCCTGTTGAGAGTCCTGGAGGTGGTCCTGTTGAGAGTCCTGGTGGTGGTCCTGTGTAGAGTCCTGGTGGTGATCCTGTTGAGAGTCCTGATGGTGGTCCTGTTGAGAGTCCTGGAGCCTGGACTTCTGGTTGTCCTGGATGTCTTCACAGGACCTACACTGTAGGTAATCCCTCCATGGTAGTCTTCACAGGACCTACACTGTAGGTAATCCCTCCATGGTAGTCTTCACAGGACCTACACTGTAGGTAATCCCTCCATGGTAGTCTTCACAGGACCTACACTGTAGGTAATCCCTCCATGGATGTCTTCACAGGACCTACACTGTAGGTAATCCCTCCATGGTTGTGGTCACCGCTAGTCCGTCAGCTCTATCTTGATGACCCGCTCCTTCTGTAAACAAAACGGAGAGAGTTAGAGTCGCAGCCACGACACCGAGAAGCACTCAAAGAGGAAGGTTTGGAAGCCACCTCCACCCCCCCCCCCCACCTGCTGACAGGCGGGGCATATAAAGTCAGGGACCTGGGGGCTAGATTCACGAAGCAGTTTCGCAAGTACTTACGAACGTGTACATCTTTCCTCAATCTGTGACGGCTTTGGTTACATTTATTAAACAGTTTACAAGTATGAAAACTTGTCAATCAACTGTTGTTATTGTTATAAACAGCCTCCTGGTGCTTCGGAGCTCATTAACTGTTTAATAATTGTAAACAAAGCCGCCAAAGATTGAGAAACGATGTACAGGTTCGTAAGTGCTTGCGTAACTGATTCGTGAATCTGGCCCCTGCTCTATTCAGCGTAGCCACTGGACAGGGAAGCTATGGGCAGGGATACAACAACCTCTCATCCCTTACGAAACCAGTTCATCTTTGTGTTAATCGTGGCGGCTTTGTTTACAGTTAGTAAACAGTTTACGGGTGTGGTAACTTGACAAGCCGAGGTTGTGTTTGTTATAAACAGCCTGGTGGCGCTACCGAGCTCATCAAGTGTCTAGGAACTGTGCACACAGGCACCATGACTGAGGAAAGATGTAAAGGTTTCGTAAGAAGAAACTTTTGTGCTTCGTGTGATGAAAGCCACAAGTGGACCCCCCACTGTCTTGTACTTACCAGGGTATGGCCTCCTGTTAGCAGGCTGAGAGCTTTCCCTTCCCATAGCTCATGGTAAGCCTTACCCTACTAGTTTTACACACAGGAGGGTACAGGAGCAGACGACTGCTGACTCCTGTTAGCTGGCTGAGAGCTTTCCCTTCCCATAGCTCATGGTAAGCCTTACCCTACTAGTTTTACACACAGGAGGGTACAGGAGCAGACGACTGCTGACTCCTGTTAGCTGGCTGAGAGCTTTCCCTTCCCATAGCTCATGGTAAGCCTTACCCTACTAGTTTTACACACAGGAGGGTACAGGAGCAGACGACTGCTGACTCCTGTTAGCAGGCTGAGAGCTTTCCCTTCCCATAGCTCATGGTAAGCCTTACCCTACTAGTTTTACACACAGGAGGGTACAGGAGCAGACGACTGCTGACTCCTGTTAGCTGGCTGAGAGCTTTCCCTTCCCATAGCTCATGGTAAGCCTTACCCTACTAGTTTTACACACAGGAGGGTACAGGAGCAGACGACTGCTGACTCCTGTTAGCTGGCTGAGAGCTTTCCCTTCCCATAGCTCATGGTAAGCCTTACCCTACTAGTTTTACACACAGGAGGGTACAGGAGCAGACGACTGCTGACTCCTGTTAGCTGGCTGAGAGCTTTCCCTTCCCATAGCTCATGGTAAGCCTTACCCTACTAGTTTTACACACAGGTGGGTACAGGAGCAGACGACTGCTGACTCCTGTTAGCAGGCTGAGAGCTTTCCCTTCCCATAGCTCATGGTAAGCCTTACCCTACTAGTTTTACTTTTTTACTTTACCAATCTTTCCTAACCAGGACTCGAACCTAGACCAAATGGTTAACTATGCCTGGAGCGTGTGGGCTACCAGTGCGCCAACAGGGAGCTATGAACCGCACGCCCTCACACACAGCTGTAAACAAACATTTGAGGGAGAAGTTGTGTAAGATTGTCGTGAAGGTGAACAGCGTTGAGGGACCCTAGTGATCGCCAGAAATTCTGCTCTAATATTAGCTATAAAAGTTAAATGAGAACATTGAGAGGACCAATATTGTGGGGACGTTTGGGGTAGTTTTGAGTGATGCCTTAAACAGCCTTGTTCAGGGCCTTAAACAGCCTTGTTCAAGGGCCTTAAATAGCCTTGTTCAAGGGCCTTAAACAGCCTTGTTCAGGGCCTTAAACAGCCTTGTTCAAGGGCCTTAAACAGCCTTGTTCAAGGGTCTTAAACAGCCTTGTTCAAGGGCCTTAAACAGCCTTGTTCAAGGGCCTTAAATAGCCTTGTTCAAGGGCCTTAAACAGCCTTGTTCAGGGCCTTAAACAGCCTTGTTCAGGGCCTTAAACAGCCTTGTTCAGGGCATTAAACAGCCTTGTTTAGGGCCTAAAACAGCCTTGTTCAGGGCCTTAAACAGCCTTGTTCAAGGGCCTTAAACAGCCTTGTTCAGGGCCTTAAACAACCTTATTCAGGGCCTTAAACAGCCTTGTTCAGGGCCTTAAACAGCCTTGTTCAGGGCTTTAAACAGCCTTGTTCAGGGCCTTAAACCTTATTCAGGGCCTAAAACAGCCTTGTTCAGGGCCTTAAACAGCCTTGTTCAAGGCCTTAAACAGCATTGTTCAGGGCCTTTAACAGCCTTCTTCAAGGGCCTTAAACAGGCTTGTTCAGGGCCTTAAACAGCTTTGTTCAGGGCCTTAAACAGCCTTGTTCAGGGCCTTAAACAGCCTTGTTCAGGGCCTTAAACAGCCTTGTTCAGGGCCTAAAACAGCCTTGTTCAGGGCCTTAAACAGCCTTGTTCAAGGGCCTTAAACAGCCTTGTTTAAGGGCCTTAAACAGCCTTGTTCAGGGCCTTAAACAACCTTATTCAGGGCCTAAAACAGCCTTGTTCAGGGCCTTAAACAACCTTATTCAGGGCCTAAAACAGCCTTGTTCAGGGCCTTAAACAGCTTTATTCAGGGCCTAAAACAGCCTTGTTCAGGGCCTTAAACCTTATTCAGGGCCTAAAACAGCCTTGTTCAGGGCCTTAAACCTTATTCAGGGCCTAAAACAGCCTTGTTCAGGGCCTTAAACAGCCTTGTTCAGGGCCTTAAACAGCCTTGTTCAGGGCCTAAAACAGCCTTGTTCAGGGCCTTAAACAGCCTTGTTCAGGGCCTAAAACAGCCTTGTTCAAGGGCCTTAAACAGCCTTGTTCAGGGCCTTAAACAGCCTTGTTCAAGGGCCTTAAACAGCCTTGTTCAAGGGCCTTGAACAGCCTTGTTCAAGGGCCTTAAACAGCCTTGTTCAGGGCCTTAAACAGCCTTGTTCAGGGCCTTTAACAGCCTTGTTCAGGGCCTTAAACAGCCTTGTTCAGGGCCTTAAACAGCCTTGTTCAGGGCCTTAAACAGCCTTGTTCAGGGCCCTAAACAGCCTTGTTCAAGGGCCTTAAACAGCCTTGTTCAGGGCCTTAAACAGCCTTGTTCAGGGCCTTAAAGAGCCTTGTTCAGGGCCTTAAACAGCCGTATTCAGGGCCTTAAACAGCCGTATTCAGGGCCTTAAACAGCCTTGTTCAGGGCCTTAAACAGCCTTGTTCAGGGCCTAAAACAGCCTTGTTCAGGGCCTTAAACAGCCTTGTTCAAGGGCCTTAAACAGACTTGTTTAAGGGCCTTAAACAGCCTTGTTCAGGGCCTTAAACAACCTTATTCAGGGCCTAAAACAGCCTTGTTCAGGGCCTTAAACAACCTTATTCAGGGCCTAAAACAGCCTTGTTCAGGGCCTTAAACAGCTTTATTCAGGGCCTAAAACAGCCTTGTTCAGGGCCTTAAACCTTATTCAGGGCCTAATATAGCCTTGTTCAGGGCCTTAAACCTTATTCAGGGCCTAAAACAGCCTTGTTCAGGGCCTTAAACCTTATTCAGGGCCTTAAACAGCCTTGTTCAGGGCCGTAAACAGCCTTCTCCAGCGACCTTAAACAGCCTTGTTCAGGGCCTTAAACAGCCTTGTTCAGGGCCTAAAACAGCCTTGTTCAGGGCCTTAAACAGCCTTGTTCAGGGCCTAAAACAGCCTTGTTCAAGGGCCTTAAACAGCCTTGTTCAGGGCCTTAAACAGCCTTGTTCAAGGGCCTTAAACAGCCTTGTTCAAGGGCCTTGAACAGCCTTGTTCAAGGGCCTTAAACAGCCTTGTTCAGGGCCTTAAACAGCCTTGTTCAGGGCCTTAAACAGCCTTGTTCAGGGCCTTAAACAGCCTTGTTCAGGGCCTTAAACAGCCTTGTTCAGGGCCCTAAACAGCCTTGTTCAAGGGCCTTAAACAGCCTTGTTCAGGGCCTTAAACAGCCTTGTTCAGGGCCTTAAAGAGCCTTGTTCAGGGCCTTAAACAGCCGTATTCAGGGCCTTAAACAGCCGTATTCAGGGCCTTAAACAGCCTTGTTCAGGGCCTTAAACAGCCTTGTTCAAGGGCCTTAAACAGCCTTGTTCAGGGCCTTAAACAGCCTTGTTCAAGGGCCTTAAACAGCCTTGTTCAAGGGCCTTAAACAGCCTTGTTCAAGGGCCTTAAACAGCCTTGTTCAAGGGCCTTAAACAGCCTTGTTCAGGGCCTTAAACAGCCTTGTTCAAGGGCCTTAAACAGCCTTGTTCAGGGCCCTAAACAGCCTTGTTCAGGGCCCTAAACAGCCTTGTTCAGGGCCTTAAACAGCCTTGTTCAGGGCCTTAAACAGCCTTGTTCAGGGCCTTAAACAGCCTTGTTTAGGGCCTAAAACAGCCTTGTTCAGGGCCTTAAACAGCCTTGTTCAAGGGCCTTAAACAGCCTTGTTCAAGGGCCTTAAACAGCCTTGTTCAGGGCCTTAAACAACCTTATTCAGGGCCTTAAACAGCCTTGTTCAGGGCCTTAAACAGCCTTGTTCAGGGCTTTAAACAGCCTTGTTCAGGGCCTTAAACCTTATTCAGGGCCTAAAACAGCCTTGTTCAGGGCCTTAAACAGCCTTGTTCAGGGCCTTAAACAGCCTTGTTCAAGGGCCTTAAACAGCCTTGTTCAAGGGCCTTAAACAGCCTTGTTCAGAGCCTTAAACAGCCTTCTTCAAGGGCCTTAAACAGGCTTGTTCAGGGCCTTAACCAGCTTTGTTCAGGGCCTTAAACAGCCTTGTTCAGGGCCTTAAACAGCCTTGTTCAGGGCCTTAAACAGCCTTGTTCAGGGCCTAAAACAGCCTTGTTCAGGGCCTTAAACAGCCTTGTTCAAGGGCCTTAAACAGCCTTGTTTAAGGGCCTTAAACAGCCTTGTTCAGGGCCTTAAACAACCTTATTCAGGGCCTAAAACAGCCTTGTTCAGGGCCTTAAACAACCTTATTCAGGGCCTAAAACAGCCTTGTTCAGGGCCTTAAACAGCTTTATTCAGGGCCTAAAACAGCCTTGTTCAGGGCCTTAAACCTTATTCAGGGCCTAAAACAGCCTTGTTCAGGGCCTTAAACCTTATTCAGGGCCTAAAACAGCCTTGTTCAGGGCCTTAAACCTTATTCAGGGCCTTAAACAGCCTTGTTCAGGGCCGTAAACAGCCTTCTCCAGCGACCTTAAACAGCCTTGTTCAGGGCCTTAAACAGCCTTGTTCAGGGCCTTAAACAGCCTTGTTCAGGGCCTAAAACAGCCTTGTTCAGGGCCTTAAACAGCCTTGTTCAGGGCCTAAAACAGCCTTGTTCAAGGGCCTTAAACAGCCTTGTTCAGGGCCTTAAACAGCCTTGTTCAAGGGCCTTAAACAGCCTTGTTCAAGGGCCTTGAACAGCCTTGTTCAAGGGCCTTGAACAGCCTTGTTCAAGGGCCTTAAACAGCCTTGTTCAGGGCCTTAAACAGCCTTGTTCAGGGCCTTAAACAGCCTTGTTCAGGGCCTTAAACAGCCTTGTTCAGGGCCTTAAACAGCCTTGTTCAGGGCCTTAAACAGCCTTGTTCAGGGCCCTAAACAGCCTTGTTCAAGGGCCTTAAACAGCCTTGTTCAGGGCCTTAAACAGCCTTGTTCAGGGCCTTAAAGAGCCTTGTTCAGGGCCTTAAACAGCCGTATTCAGGGCCTTAAACAGCCGTATTCAGGGCCTTAAACAGCCTTGTTCAGGGCCTTAAACAGCCTTGTTCAAGGGCCTTAAACAGCCTTGTTCAGGGCCTTAAACAGCCTTGTTCAAGGGCCTTAAACAGCCTTGTTCAAGGGCCTTAAACAGCCTTGTTCAAGGGCCTTAAACAGCCTTGTTCAGGGCCTTAAACAGCCTTGTTCAAGGGCCTTAAACAGCCTTGTTCAGGGCCCTAAACAGCCTTGTTCAGGGCCCTAAACAGCCTTGTTCAGGGCCCTAAACAGCCTTGTTCAGGGCCTTAAACAGCCTTGTTCAGGGCCCTAAACAGCCTTGTTCAGGGCCTTAAACAGCCTTGTTCAGGGCCCTAAACAGCCTTGTTCAGAGCCTTAAACAGCCTTGCTCAGGGCCTTACACAGCCTTGTTTAGGGCCTTAAACAGCCTTGTTCAGGGCCTTAAACAGCCTTGTTCAGGGCCTTAAACAGCCTTGTTCAGGGCCCTAAACAGCCTTGTTCAGGGCCTTAAACAGCCTTGTTTAGGGCCTTAAACAACCTTATTCAGGGCCTTAAACAGCCTTGTTCAAGGGCCTTAAACAGCCTTGTTCAGGGCCTTAAACAGCCTTGTTCAGGGCCTTAAACAGCCTTGTTCAGAGCCCTAAACTGCCTTGTTAAGGCGGGTGAGTGTAACGTGTGGCCTAGACTAACCTTCTTGGGGACATAGACAGTGAGGATGCCGTCTTTGGAGAGCGCGGAGTCTATGTCCTCCTCTCTGGTGTTGTGGGGGATGTGGAAGTTCCTGTTGAAGGTCCTGGTGGTGGTGTGGCCGTCGTGCGTGCTCTCCAGGCGGCCCTTGACCGTCAAGTGCTTGTCATCTTGCACCACCTCGATCTCCCCCGGCACGTACTCCTCCACGTCCATCACCAGCTGCAACAACAACAGTCTCAGTGATCACGTGTGATGCCTCTTTGGATAGGGACGACCTGGGAGGGGATGTCACCTTAAATCTGATGTCAGAAGTTCATATTAAACAGCTGCATGTGACATACTGACCAAGGAGCTTCCCAGGCCCTATATACAGCGAACGTCAGACCCACTCTTCAATATGCAGCCCCCAGCATGGAACCCCATACCTGAAAAAGTAGAAACTAGAAAATGTCCAAGGATATGCAACGAGACTCGTTTCAGAGCTGAGGGGATTGAGCTATGAGGAAAGACAGAGAACTTTGGAGGAAAGGATTGTATTAAATAATTTTGAATATGGGGGACATGATAACAACATACAAGATATTAATGGAAATAGACAAGTGGACAAAACAGCGTTGTTTAAAGCTAGGAACAGCAGAACGAGGGGTCATAGATGGAAGCTAAGAGACGCTAATGAGCCATAGAGTCATTAGGAAGAACTTGTTCAGTGTTAGAGTTGTCAGTAAACGGAACAGCTTAGAGGCAGGAGCCGTTGACACTAATTTAATTCCTTTTTTTAATGTAAACATGTTTTTATATTTTAAATATGTTTATAATGTAGATATGATAAATGTTTGAGTTATGAAGACTGTGAAGGGAACCTGGTGTCGGATATAAGGTCCAGTATATTAGTCCTTATACTTTAATGGTCTATCTATAGTAATTCAGTTTCTTATATATATGTATATATATATAATATATTTAGGGGACAGTTCCAGCAGGGGACAGTGGACCAGTTCCAGGGGGACAGTGGACCAGTAGGGGGTCAGTGGACCAGTAGGGGGACAGTTCCAGCAGGGGACAGTGTGGGGAGCAGTTCCAGCAGTGGACAGTGGGGGACAGTTCCAGCAGGGGACAGTGTGGGGACAGGGGGCAGTGGACCAGCAGGGGGACAGTTCCAGCAGGGGAGCAGGGGACAGTTCCAGCAGGGGACAGTGTGGGGGCAGGGGAGCAGTGGACAGTGTGGGGACAGTTCCAGCAGGGGACAGTGGACCTGGGGGACAGTTCCAGCAGGGGACAGTGGACAGTGCAGGGGACAGTGGACACAGCAGGGGGACAGTTCCAGCAGGGGACAGTGGACAGTTCAGCAGGGGACAGTGTCCAGTTCCAGCAGGGGACAGTGTGGGGGACAGTTCCAGCAGGGGACAGTGTGGGGGACAGTTCCAGCAGGGGACAGTGTGGGGACAGTTCCAGCAGGGGACAGTGGACCAGCAGTGTGGGGACAGTTCCAGCAGGGGACAGTGTGGGGACAGTTCCAGCAGGGGACAGTGTGGGGACAGTTCCAGCAGGGGACAGTGGGGGGGGGACAGTTCCAGCAGGGGACAGTGTGGGGAGCAGTTCCAGCAGGGGACAGTGTGGGGACAGTTCCAGCAGGGGACAGTGTGGGGGACAGTTCCAGCAGGGGACAGTGTGGGGGACAGTTCCAGCAGGGGACAGTGGACCTGCAGTTCCAGCAGGGGACAGTGTGGGGGACAGTTCCAGCAGGGGACAGTGTGGGGGACAGTTCCAGCAGGGAACAGTGGGGGACAGTTCCAGCAGGGGACAGTGGACAGTTCCAGCAGGGGACAGTGGACAGTTCAGCAGGGGACAGTGGACCAGCAGGGGACAGTGTGGGGACAGTTCCAGCAGTGGACAGCAGGGGGACAGTGGACCAGCAGGGGACAGTGGGGGGGGCAGTTCCAGCAGGGGGACAGTTCCAGCAGGGGACAGTGGGGGGACAGTTCCACAGCAGGGGACCAGCAGGGGGGGACAGTTCCAGCAGGGGACAGTGTGGGGGGCAGTTCCAGCAGGGGACAGTGGGGGGACAGTTCCAGCAGGGGACAGTGTGGGGTTCCAGCACAGTTCCAGCAGGGGACAGTGTGGGGGACAGTTCCAGCAGGGGACAGTGTGGGGGACAGTTCAGCAGGGGACAGTGTGGGGGACCAGCAGGGGGACAGTTCCAGCAGGGGACAGTGTGGGGACAGGGGGCAGTGGACAGTGTGGGGACAGTTCCAGCAGGGGACAGTGTGGGGGCAGTTCCAGCAGGGGACCAGTGTGGGGGACAGTTCCAGCAGGGGACAGTGTGGGGGGCAGTTCCAGCAGGGGACAGTGGACCAGCAGGGGGCAGTGGACCAGTTCCAGCAGGGGACAGTGTGGGGGCAGTTCCAGCAGGGGACAGTGGGGGACAGGGGAGCAGGGGACAGTGTGGGGGCAGTGGACCAGCAGGGGACAGTGGGGGGACAGTTCCAGCAGGGGACAGTGTGGGGGACAGTGGACCAGCAGGGGACAGTGTGGGGACAGTTCCAGCAGGGGACAGTGTGGGGTTCAGTTCCAGCAGGGGGGGACAGTTGGGGGACAGTTCCAGCAGGGGACAGTGGGGGACAGTTCCAGCAGGGGACAGTGTGGGGACCAGCAGGGGACAGTGTGGGGACAGTTCCAGCAGGGGACAGTGGACCAGCAGTTCCAGCAGGGGACAGTGTGGGGGGCAGTTCCAGCAGGGGACAGTGTGGGGACAGTTCCAGCAGGGGACAGTGTGGGGACAGTTCCAGCAGGGGCAGGGGACAGTGGACCAGCAGTTCCAGCAGGGGACAGTGTGGGGACAGTTCCAGCAGGGGACAGTGTGGCAGGGGTTCCACAGTGGACCAGCAGGGGACAGTGTGGGGGCAGTTCCAGCAGGGGACAGTGTGGGGACAGTTCCAGCAGGGGACAGTGTGGGGGGGCAGTTCCAGCAGGGGACAGTGTGGGGGACAGTTCAGTTCCAGGACAGTTCCAGCAGGGGACAGTGTGGGGAGCAGTTCCAGCAGGGGACAGTTCCAGCAGGGGACAGTGGACCAGCAGGGGACAGTGGGGGGACAGTTCCAGCAGGGGACAGTGTGGGGACAGTGGGGACCAGCAGGTGACAGTGTGGGGACACTTCCAACAGGGGACAGTGTGGGGGACAGTTCCAGCAGGTGACAATGTGGGGACAATTCTAGCAGGAGACAGTGTTGGGACAGTTCCAGAAGGGGACAGTGTGGGGACAGTTCCAGCAGGGGACAGTGTGGAGACAGTTCCAACAGGTGACAGTGTGGGGAACAGTTCCAGCAGGGGACAGTTCCAGCAGTGGACCAGCAGGGGGCAGTTCCAGCAGGGGACAGTGGGGGACAGTTCCAGCAGGGGACAGTGGACCAGTTCCAGGACAGTGGACCAGCAGGGGGACAGTGGACCAGCAGGGGGACAGTTCCAGCAGGGGACAGTGTGGGGACAGTTCCAGCAGGGGACAGTGGACCAGTTCCAGCAGGGGACAGTGTGGGGGACAGTTCCAGCAGGGGACAGTGTGGGGGACAGTTCCAGCAGGGGACAGTGTGGGGACAGTTCCAGCAGGGGGTGTGGGGACAGTCAGGGGACAGTGGACAGCAGGGGACAGTTCCAGCAGGGGACAGTGTGGGGGACAGTTCCAGCAGGGGACAGTGGACCATCAGTTCCAGCAGGGGACAGTGTGGGGGACAGTTCCAGCAGGGGGGACAGTGTGGGGACAGTTCCAGCAGGGACAGTGTGGGGACAGTTCCAGCAGTGGACAGTGTGGGGACAGTTCCAGCAGGGGACAGTGTGGGGATCAGTTCCAGCAGGGGACAGTGTGGGGACAGTTCCAGCAGGGGACAGTGTGGGGGCAGGGGGCAGTGGACCATGTGGGGACAGTGGACCAGCAGGGGACAGTGGACCAGTTCCAGCAGGGGACAGTGGGGGGACAGCAGCAGGGGACAGTGGACCTGCAGGGGACAGTGGGGACAGTGTGGGGGACAGTTCCAGCAGGGGACAGTGTGGGGACAGTTCCAACAGGGGACAGTGTGGGGGACAGTTCCAGCAGGGGACAGTGTGGGGGCAGTTCCAGCAGGGGACAGTGTGGGGGACAGTTCCAGCAGGGGACAGTGTGGGGGACAGTTCCAGCAGGGGACAGTGGACCTGCAGGGGGCAGTGGACCAGCAGGGGACAGTGTGGGGGACAGTTCCAGCAGGCGACAGTGTGGGGGACAGTTCCAGCAGGGGACAGTGTGGGGCAGTTCCAGCAGGGGACAGTGTGGGGGACAGTTCCAGCAGGGGACAGTGGACCATCAGTTCCAGCAGGGGACAGTGTGGGGACAGTTCCAGCAGGGGACAGTGTGGGGGACAGTTCCAGCAGGGACAGTGTGGGGACAGTTCCAGTGGACCTGCAGGGGACAGTGTGCAGGGGACAGTTCCAGCAGGGGGACAGTGGAGCAGGGGACAGTGTGGGGGACAGTTCCAGCAGGGGACAGTGGGGGGACAGTTCCAGCAGGGGACAGTGTGGGGGGCAGTTCCAGCAGGGGACAGTGTGCAGGGGACAGTTCCAGCAGGGGACAGTGTGGGGGACAGTTCCAGCAGGGGACAGTGTGGGGACAGTGTGGGGACAGTTCCAGCAGGGGACAGTGTGGGGGACAGTTCCAGCAGGGGACAGTGTGGGGACAGTTCCAGCAGGGGACAGTGTGGGGGCAGTTCCAGCAGGGGACAGTGTGGGGACAGTTCCAGCAGGGGACAGTGTGGGGACAGTTCCAGCAGGGGACAGTGTGGGGACAGTTCCAGCAGGGGACAGTGTGGGGACAGTTCCAGCAGGGGACAGCAGGGGGGGACAGTTCCAGCAGGGGACAGTGGACCACAGTTCCAGCAGGGGACAGTGTGGGGGGCAGTTCCACCATCAGGGGGCAGTGGACCAGCAGGGGGACAGTGTGGGGGGACAGTGGACCAGCAGGGGACAGTGTGGGGGACAGTGGGGGACCAGCAGGGGACAGTGTGGGGACAGTTCCAGCAGGGGACAGCAGGGGACAGTGGACCAGCAGGGGACAGTGTGGGGACAGTTCCAGCAGGGGACAGTGTGGGGGACAGTTCCAGCAGGGGACAGGGGGGACAGTTCCAGCAGGGGACAGTGTGGGGGACAGTTCCAGCAGGGGGACAGTGGGGGACAGTGCCAGCAGGGGACAGTGTGGGGGG